CCGAGGTGTGGCAGAATCATCCTGCAAGTACATCTGAGATGTGCCATGAGGCATTTTAAGGGCTGGCACATTTTGGATGTGAATATTTGTGGATGTGGGGTGCAAGTAACTGTTGCCTATGGACTGTATCCCAAGATTGTTGGTGCCTGGTATCCAACACGGGAGGTCATTTAGAGCAAGCGGTGAACAGAATCTGCCAGGTACTGGCTCTCGTTTCCATATCAAGTTTTCCTGATGTCTAACTTATTTGATGAGTTTGGTAAGATGGGTGCTGAATATTAATGAGGTGAGTTAAATGCCATTAACTGGGCAGTTAACAACCAATGATTCCATCAACTAGCATCTTGCTGCTGCCGGGCAAGAATCTTGCCAATGACACCTGTGAAAAACCTAAAAGATGGAATGAGACAAGCCCGACTTTGAGATGGGCCTCAATGCACTTGTCACCTAATTGCGGCACACTTCTCACTATATGATTCCTACCTATACCTGTGGACAGTAAAGCTATGGTTTTCCAAGATAAAATGATGACAGGAAAGATTCCATGGGAAAAGCTCATTATTACATTTCAGTGCAGATTTACAAGAGTTGAGTCAGGTATACATTAGATTTACATAGATTTCTGAACCGCGCCGATATATGTTGGAAATTCAGGTCTTCACACACAGTATGGATAATTAAAAATGATGCTGATATGCTACAAACGGTCGGATCTTTATGGAGACTAAATTGGAGTCCTGCATCATCTGATTTCTTTTAGATTTTGGTATTGCTAATTGTGATTAATTTAATTGTGAAATTGCTGAAAGGTTTGACAAAAGAACTTTTAAACGTGAGTTGTTTTGAATTCAGTCATGGGCATGGGCATCACTGGATGGGCCAGCATTAATTGCCCATCCCTAGTTGTCCTTGAGAAGATGGTGTTGAGCTGCCTTTTTAGTCCACGTGCTGAAAGTAGATCCACAATACCCTTAGGGAGGGTGTTGAACATAAAAATGTAGTTGTGTAACTTTGCAATCCCATAGTTTACATATATTTGCTGGAACCAAGATTTGCACAGCAGTTTTCAAATGGCTGGAAGACTGCATTGATAGACATTTGTTTTGGCATAGGATTTTAAAAAGGCAACTTCGCCATCTGTCATCACACTATGTGTCTCTCTACAGGTCCCATTATTTCTTTACTGTTCATTTTCTCTGCTGTGGGCTGTTGTAGTTATTTTTTTCCTTTCCAGATTGATCCCACACCTCTTTTTCCCCATCTCCTGCTGATCTTCCTTGTTTTCTTTCCAGGTTTCACTCCTCATTCAGCAATATCTCGTTTTCTCCAATCTCTGCTTTGTCTCTTTATCACCTGCAATCTTTCCAATGATCAACAGTGGGAAATACATTTCAAATTCTCCATACACATATACACCTGGAAATCAATGTAAGTTATCTGTTGTCTCATTAGTGTGTGCTTGAAGTGTATTAAAAATACACAACCTTGTCCAAATACAAAAAGATACACAAAATCATCCTGTGTACTATGAGGAATGGTAGCTCATTACAACATAAATCCAATACAGGTAATAATATTTTTGCCCTGGTTGTTTTACTCATAAGTAAATCTGAGACATACTCAAAGTTAAGATACACACATTGCATTAGAATTAGGGAATGATGTTTGAGATGAGGGATCTGAGAGGCTGGAAGAAATTGTACAAGTACGGTGAGTGGAAGCCATGGAGAAATGAGGATTATTTCAGATGAGCCATTTTTAAAAAAAATGAGATGCTGCCACATTTGAAATGAGCCTTATGCAAATAAAGCTTCAAGAAATTTGTTTCAGAACCTTGTCCATCACAATGCACTGAGCTTCATCTTGCAAAAGGATGATATTTGCCTTCACAAGTTTCTCATTTTCCTTGTTACACAAACAGCATTATAAACAGAAGCAAAGGTCCTTGTGGTGCAGTGGTAATGTCCCTACCTTTGGGCCAGAGGCCTGGGTTCAAGTCTCACCTGCTCCTGAGGTATGTAATAACATGACCAAAAAGGTTGACTAAAAGATATCTATGAACTGAAGAAGGTCTTACAGATAGTAACAAAGATAAAAGATTCCCACCTTGAAGCAGATGGTCTGGCAACAGCAGAAAGACATTTGCTGAGGATGCTGTGGCAGTCAACATACAGACACACTATGAAGCCTCTTTCACATTTAGGCTGAGCATACAGTAATTGTATGTACAGCCAAAATTTACTTCAGAAGAGTATATTTGTAACATTTGACAGAGGCCAACAGGAATCTCTATGCAAGTCATAGAATCCCCACAGTGTGGGAACAGGTCATTGAGCCCAACAAGTCCACACTGCCCCTCTGAAGAACATCCCACCCAGACCCATTCCCCTACCCCTGCATTTTTCCCATATCTAACCCACACATCCCTGGGCACTATGGGCAATTTAACATAGCCATTCCACCTAACCTGCACATCTTTGGACTGTGGGAAGAAACCAGAGCACACCCACACAGACACAGGGAGAATGCGCAAACTCCACACAGACAGTTGCCCAAGGCTGGAATTGAACCCAGGTCCCTGGTGCTATGAGGCAGCAGTGCTAACCACTGTGCCACCAAGTCAGTCCATGTGAGTTAGATGTTGATATACTGATTTGCCAGCTCTGAAAAAGATTCAGTGTGAGCAATCACACTCCCCAGCCCTATGTGCAGAAATAACAACTTACCTTCCTATCTTTTTGCCCCTCCGCGCCATTCCATTTCTCCTCTCACTACCGTACTCCAACCTTCATCTGTCTCTACTCCCATCATTCCTCCTCTCCTCTTCTCCCCATCTGCTATACTCCAATTCACTCAAATCCACCTTCCTGTTCTCTGGGCCACCCTTATTCTCCTGTTCCCATTCCCTCCTCTCGGCTGTCCCAGAGCTCTTCCCTCTCATCAACTTGCTTCTTCTTTCATCCTCTCTTTCTGTCCTGTCCCCGGCCATCCTTTCTCTCTTCCATCCCCACTTTTTTCTCGTTCTCACTTCCTTCATCCAAATTTGCCTGGGAGTCAAAAGGTTGCCGTCAAGTGCAATCCTGGGCTGAGATATGACCTCTGCTGACATTAGTCTGGTAAGAATCCATCATTGCTGCACAGATGCACTGTAACAATTCACCAAGTCTCTTTCAAAGGCACCTCCAAACCCACTTTGTCTACTACCTTAAAGGCAGCAAATGCATGGAAGAAAAAACACTACCTGCAAGTTCCCCCTCTGACAGAGTCACTATCTGACCATTCCTTCATTAATGTTTATTCAAAATCCTGGAACCCTCTTCCTAATAGTACAGTGGGTGTACCTACATCACATTCCAGTGGTGCACCAGTTTCAGAAAGCAGCTCACCATCACCTTCTCAAGAGCAGTTATAAATGGGCAACAAATGTTGACCTAACAAGCAATGCTCGTGACAATGGCTTGTATTTCTGTATCCTTGTAGGGGAGGCAGTGACATAGTGGTGATGTCACTGGACTAATAATCCAGATTAATGTCTGCACACATGGATTTGAATCCCAACATGGCAGATAGTGAAATTTTAATTCAATAAAAAGCAGTAAATGTCATAAAAACCCATCTCGCATGTCCTTTAGGGACGGAAATCTGCCATTCTTACCTGGCCTAGCCTACATTAACTCCAGGTCAATTTGTTTGTCTCTTAACTGTCTTCTGGGCAACTAGGATTTGCAATAAATGCAGTCCTGGCCAGCAATGCCCAAATCTCATGCATGAATATATATTAAAAACCTTTAACGTAATGGAAAGGACTACACAGGAGCACTACAAAACAAAGTATGACACCAAACCACGCATAAAGAGTATTTATTCAGATGATCAGAGGTTTGGTTAAAGAGATAGATTTTAAGGAATGTCTTAAAGGGGAAAGGGAGGTAAAGAGTTCGCCAAGTGCAGGGAGGGAGTTAGGGCATGGGGTCCCGGCACGTGGAAGCATAGCCCCCAGTAGTGGAGCAATGATGACTAGGAAAGCAGAAAAGGCTGGGCAAGTTGTGACAGCGGAGGAATTTGAAAATGAGAGTTAAAGAGAAATTGAACACAGAGCTGTTTTTCTGATGACCCACAAAAGATCTTGAGGCACTATTTTGAAGGCCTTCCCCCTGGTGTTTATACACACACACACCAGCAATAGCACTGGAACAGATTATTTGATTACATTGCTGCTGTTCTGTTAGTTGCAATGTGCCGACTGTATTATCTACAATACTATCCTTCAGAAGACTTTTATTAACTATGACGGATACGTCCTGAAGTTGGAGGCGTGCGGAAATACAAATTCTTTCCTTTATCCAATTAATCCTTTCAATTTATGTCTGAGAATTCACCTTAGAACAGAAAATGCATTTCAAAATTAAAAATGCACATATTTGCAACAAAACATCGGATATTCAAAATCGTTAAAACTTTTTTACGTAAACGAAACTGAAAAATCGTAATGAGCGCGCGCTAATGTCACGGCTGGGAACCTACCACTGAATTAGAGGGGTGTAATTGTGCGCTTCATTCCTTCTATATAATATTACTGCACTGTACTCACTACAGAATATTGTCATTCCAGTAAATTATAATGAATTATTTGGCACTTCATTAGGAATGATTGAAGTGGTGCTGAAAAAAAGTAAGGGGAACCCACAATAATAGATTACGTTGGCTCCTGTATTTCTTGGTGGTGGAGTGGCTGGCGGGAGATGTGAATGGGAGTAGGGGATTCAGCGGCTGTCGTTGGTCGAGCGCTCCAGGTAATGTCCAGATATTTGCTGTTTCATTCATTCATTCAATCACAAGGTCCTGCAGAATATTGCATCTTCCCCCACGATCCGCGGGTCCTCCTCATTGTGATGGAACTAGCCCCCTCCCCCAACCCAGGATTGTGACGTCACCGGGTCCCCCGACTGTTACGTCACCGTTCCCCTCGAGCCCCGGGGATTCCTCGAGGTGACGTCACGGGGAAGTGATTGCAGGCTGTTCCTCCTGGTCGCTGTCACTTTCACGGACCAGCAGCGGTGGGCAATCATCGTTGTCACCAGAGCCCTTGAAGGGTTTACTTTACTAGAGTGAACCGGCACTAACGTCACCTTACCCGGCACATGCTAAAAGATTGGAGTCAAATGACAAAGCAACTGAAGTAAATCGAAATTGCACATAAAAATGTGAGTAACTACTGCGCATAAATGAGCCCTGACTGTTTTGGAATCTGTGTGCAATAAAGCAACAATTTGCGGCTGTACGGCCCCATCAAATATGCTACCCTGCGCTGCTTTATGGAGGAAAATGGAGAAAAAAAAAACATACAAGGGCACTAGCGGGACTTCAGAGAAGCAAAGCGTCTTTATTTTTCTTGTAAAGATTTTTAAAAGTGGAGCAAATTTGGAGGGACAGAAATATTTGCGAAGGAAATGAATAATGTGCGGTTAATAGGGAGGCGGTGATACAGTAAAGGAATTGGAGGAATGAACGTATAGGGAAGAAAAACAGGAGGGAGTTGTAGTATTCATACAAACTGTGATCAAGGACTGGATTTTTTTTTGTTCACAAAGTTATACATTATATAACAGCAAAGGAGGCCATTATAGAATTGTACAGTAGGGAAACAGGCCCTTCAGCCCAACTCGTCTACGCTGACCAGGCTTCTTAAAGTGAACTAGTCCCATTTGCCTGCGTTTGGCCCATATCCCACTAAACCTTTTCTAACCATCTACCTGTCCAAATGTCTCCTAAAAGTTGTACTGGCCTCTGCCACTTCGTTGGGCAGCTGGTTCCATATATGCATCACCCTCTGTGAAAAGCTTACTTCTCAAGTCCTTTTTAAATCTTTACCCTCTCAAACCTATGCCCTCTAGTTTGGCCTCCCCTACCCTGGGGAAAGGACCATGGCTATTCACCTTATTATGCCCCTCATGATTTTATATTGCTCTATAAGGTCACCTCTCGGCTTCCTACGCTCCTAGGAAAGAAGTCCCAGCCTATCCAGCCTCCTGTTATAACTCAAACCCTACAGTCCTGGCATTTCCTTATGTATCTGTTTGTTCCACCTTTCCAGTTGAATAACATCCTTCCTATAGCAGGGAGACCAGTACTGTACGCAGGAGGCCATTGGGCCTGTTAGGTCTGCACCTGCCCTTCAGATGAATGAATAGTGCGATTCTCCATCTCCCTGGTTCTCAGCACATCATTCCTTTATAAATAACTATCCAATTCCCTTTTGAGTGCTTCAGTTGAATCTGCGTCTGCCATACTTTTAGGTGCTAAAACTGCACTAAAAAGTTTTTCTTCAAATCCCTTTTGCAGCTTTTGTCAATTTCTACATATTTGTGCCCACTTATTGAAAATTCCATTAGGGGAATGGTTTCTCCCTCTCTGCTCTATCCAAACTGCTCATGATTTTGAATACCTCGATCAGATCTCCTCTTGGGCTTCTCTTTGCCAAGGAAAACAGTCTCAGCTTCTCCAGTCTGTCTTCATAATCAAAGCTCCTCATTCTTGGATCATTCATATGAATCCCTTCTGCACCCTTTCTACTGCCTTCACGTCATTCTGAAAGTGCAACTACTGAGCTGGATGCAATATTCCAGCTGAGGCTGAATTAGTGCCTTGTACAAGTTCATTGTAACCTCCTTGCTCTTGTATGGATGCTCCTATCAGTAAAGCCTAGTAAACAGTGTGCTTTGTTAATCATGCTGTTGACCTGTCCTATTACCTTTGATTATTTCTGCACGTATACATGGAAAACACAGTGAACCACACATGCACGGTTTGTAACACATGGCTAGTGGACACTACTACTCCAAGAAATAATTTTTTTTTCTTCAAACTAAGAGAAACTAAGATCAAATTCACATTGGCCAAAAGATGTACAGTCAAATTGTATATGTAAGCAAATTCAGAAAAGGGACGTGTGAATAGTTGTGATTAATTTTTTAGTTTTGCTTTTCTTTTAATGCCTAATTAAATTTCAGGCTCTAACATTTGTTTTAATGAAGAAGGTAAGTTACTGAGTTCAATTGCTATTGGTACAGCACTTCCCAATGTGGGAGATGCACTTAAAAGTATCTGCCCAGAGCTTTGTTTACCAGACAGCCTTTAATAATAGAAAATAATTTGCTCTCTTCATGACTGAAAATATTAAAATAGTTTTTGTGACTGATTGGATCAATATTCGGCCTGTAGCAGTCTGAGTGGTGTAAGATTACGTTGTCTATCAGGGCCTTTCACCAGTTTAACAAATAGAACTGACACTAAATTTACATATAATTCAACGGACAGAGTGTGCTATACAACTGCTTTTGAAATTGAATGCTACTATTATTGCGGAGTAATATATTCACAGTGACAGGGAAACAATACCAGTTCTGAATTGCTTTAAAATCAATCCAGAGTGTATTTGAATGAACACACTTTTGCTTCTAAATCATAGAATCATAGAATCCCTACAGTGTGGAAGGAGGCCATTTGGCCCATCTGGTCCACAACTAACCACTCCTCCCCACCCATCACTGTACCGCTGTATTTCCCAGATACCCACCTAGCCTATGCATCCCTGGACATTATAGGCAATTTAGCACGGCCAATCCAGCTAATCTGCACATGTTTGGACTGAGGGAGGGAACTGGAGCACCCAGAGGAAACCCACGTAGACACAGGGGAGAATGTGCAAACTCCATACAGATGGTCATCCGAAGCTGGAATCAAACCCAGGTCCCTGGTGCTTTGAGGCAACAGTGCTGTGAAATAGTTTAGTTGGGCTGAGACCAGCATAAATATATAACAGCTCATTTTAACCTATCTGTTGCAGAGGGAGAGTGGGAATTGATGTGGGTGATGGTACCATGAATTTTGCCACTATATTTGTAAGGATCATTATTAATTGTATTCATGGCACTCTATGATCAAATTCAATATAAATTTGATAAGTTATATTAACAGTTTAAAACTAAATAATTGCATTAAGTACATATTATTCCAGTTATAGAATTCTTTAAAAAAAATCCTTTTGTTTAAAGACGAGTGCTACTTTTGTATTATCTGTTCCCAAATAAAACTGATTTACCAATGATGTCACAGCATTTATTGTCCTTTTGTCACATATATGACATTTCACACATAATTCCTTTTTATTCCTTTTTTTTGTTTTACAACAGGAAGGATGCATCTGAATCCAGAACAAGTTGCCTTAATTGGACAAGTATTTGAATCTTATGCTGTAGAACTCCATAAAAATGATATCATCCATATTCTACAACAGCCAGATACTGGTGCTCACTATCCAGTAATTGTGAATGCATTGACGCTGTTTGAAATCAGTATGGAGATTGGTGAATACTTAAATGCATTTCCTAATGAAATGTTTCCAATATTTGACAATGCACTGCACAGAGCAGCCATGACAATTCTGCAGTCATATCCAGAGCCACATAATTTGGTGATGAAACAAAAAGTTCACGTGCGAATTTCAGGTCAGGAGAAGTACTGAACTATAACTTCCTTAGCAAACTGAAATTTGTAGCAGTATGATCATTGCCTGTTGACCTTCATTGCTTATTGTGTTTTTTTTATGATTATTGGGTACAGGAAAGAAATTGAAGTCCTATTCAGTGACGACATCTGGGGTCTCACCAGTCCTGTGAAGAGACCACGAGAGCCCCCACTGTCCCTTTTCAAAATATTTCAACATATTTTTGAAATATTAGTGACAGGGCAAAAAGCTTATCCCTAGGTCTTTTCACTTCAGAATTGATCAGGTCAGAGACAAGAATGGGCCCAGCTCCCACCTTTCATCCTCCTTCCTAACTAAATGCCTCTGAGCTACTGAACATGCCAAGGGGGAGGTTGACAGGAGTCTGTCAACCATCATCTGTAGGAACTATTTTGTGGCAATATGGAAGAGATGGCAGCAAACTGAGTGTAGTGCTGGTGTCTTTTTTGTTTTTTTTTGTTTCACCTACACTGGCTCAAAGTTGCACCTGGTTGTGACAAGTGATTTTGAGTAGAACTGCAGGTTAGAAATTCATTGGCACACATTAAGCATTAAACAGCACCTAGATGTCCAGTATGAAGAGCAGCGTGCACATCAATTCCAGCACATGTGCTGCTTGCCGTATTGGTACAAGTTTCTGTGCAAGGTTCAGAGCCTACACCAGAAACAGAATAAGTGCCTTTGCATTTGCAAATGGATATCCTGCCCACTTTCACAGATGGACATGAAACAGTTTCTAATCTTAGTAGAAGAGCGCAGGAGATCTGATCTTAAAATTTGTACATATTTATTCTTTAAACTATAATTCTGGTCGTTTATCTCATTCACAAAGGACCAAATCAACTGGTGCATTTTCCTAAATTCCAACAGTGACCACACTTCTTCGAATGTAGTTCATTAAAACAGATTGAGATATCCCGCGACCAAGAAGGTCATTGTATAAATGCAATCTCTTTCTTCACAGAGAATGACAAAATGTTGTCAGTATTGATGAATTTGTGATTTCATGTTTTGAGTAAAACACGAATGTTATTTGTTTCCTTATTTGTCAGGATTGCCACTTTGTCCTGAACTGACAAGAGATCGCATACCAAAAACCCGAGATGTTAGTCATTTCCTCTCCGTTATTGGGACAGTCATACGAACTGGAATGGTGAAGGTGTTAGAATTTGAACATGAGTATATGTGCGACAAATGCCGTCACATCTTCACAGTGACTGCAGACTTTGAACAGTATTACACCACCTGCCGTCCTACATCCTGCCCAAACCCAGAAGGTTGCAACTCAATGAAATTTACATCCCTGTCTGGGTCCATGTCTTCTCCTGCCAGTTGTAAAGACTACCAAGAAATCAAAATTCAGGAGCAGGTGATCTGAAACTATGTTAATATTAAAATATGTTACTTAATTCTTGCTAATAGATGTTTTTGTCCGTAAATGGTATTATAATGGTTTATATCCATTTTACAGTAATTTTTTAAACTTTAATATGAAATGTTAATTGTAAATGTTGGGAGTTGAGTCACAGGGTCCAAATTAAATTTTATTTCATAATAGACCAGAGTTTTGTAGAGTTAGGACAACTTCAAAGCTATTTAAAAACTGTGTTCAGGACTTGTTTTGAGATTCCCACTCACATTCTCATTCAAGAATATTGGAGAAAGGATAGGTTATTTGGCATGCCAAGTGTGCTTTTCTGTTCAGTTTTATCATAGCCAATCATCCATTGTGGATGTGTATTTTTCATTTACTATCCTTATCTCTCTGTCATTGGTAATTTGAAATTTATCAATCTCTAATTCAAACATTGTCAATGACTGAGGTTCTACAGTCCCTTGGGGTAGAGATTTCCAAAGATTCACATCTGAGTTATAAAAACAGGTTTCCTCACCTTGGTCCTAAGGCTTCCCCTAATTTTGAAGTTGTATCGTCCACTTTAGGCACATCTTATCTACATCTACCTCATCTATCACTTTTTAAGTATTTTGTAAGGTTCTATGAGATTACCATTTCTCATCCTTGAAAACTCTCGTGACTACAGGCTTGGTTTCCCTAAGCTGTCTTCATAAGGAATTCCCACCATCTCAGGAGCAATTCCATTGAATCTTTGTTGCACTCCCTCAATGGAAGTAATTTTTTTTAAGGGAAGGAGACCAAAATTGCATACTGTAATCTATGTACAGCTTAACCTAGGTTCTGTACAATTGAAGTAAGTGTTCATTATTCCTCTAGTCAAATTATCTTGCACAAAAGGATAACATATCATAAGCCTTTCGAATAGCTTGCCATATCTGCATGTTAGCCTTCAGTGATTTACTGATGAGGATACCCAAGTCCCTTTGTACATGTACATTTTCTGATCTCTTACCATTGAAGAATTACTGTACACATCTGTTTGTCCTAACCTCATATTTTTCCAGATCATTTTTCTATTTATTGTGCTCTTGATCACTCACCAAGTCTGTTCAAATGCTCTTGAAGTCACTTTGCATATCAATATAACAATACACATTTGCACATAGCTTTGTTTCATCTGGGAACTTGGAAAAATTACTTTTGGTCCACATTCAGAATCATTGATCTATACTGTGAACAGCTATGGCCTATTGATCTTTGTGGCGATTCACTAGTCACAGCCTGCAGATATGAAAATGGCCTGTTGATTCCTTCACCCCGTTAGATAATTTTATTCTGTGCCAGTACATTACCTCCTATGTATACACTTTAATTTTGCTAACCATTCTTCTATGAGGGACTTTATCAAAACCTTTCTGAAAAACCAAGTATATAATGTCCACAGACTTGCTTTTATCAATTCTGTTTGCAACAATCTCAGAAAGCACCAGTAGGTTCATCAAACACAATTTCTCATTCACCAATCCATTCTGACTATGCTCAATCAGACCAATATTATCCAAATATCCAGTTATCACATCATTTATAGTAGATTCTAGCATTTCCTGACTATTGTTGTAAGACTAAGAGGTCCATAATTCACTATCTTTTCTCTCCTTCCCTTGGTGGGGGGTGGGGTTTGGGGTGGGGTGGGGTGGGGTGGGGGTTGGGAGAAGCGGGGGTGTTTGCTTCAATGCTCTGGATATAGAAGATCATGTCCGGAAAGCTTTACAATCTTCAATCTCATTAATCCCAACACAACCTTGGATATCTCATTCGACCAGATTTCTTGCATCTTCCACAATTAAATACAGCCACAAAGTAATAATTTAGCTTCTGTACCATTTCTCTATTTCCCGTTATAAATTCTCCTCACTCTCTCTGTAACTGATCCAGATTTGTCTTGGCCAAAAGTTTCTTTTTTACGTAACTATTGAAGCTTTTTTGCTAGTTTACATTCATAATCTATTCTCATTTGGTTTATTGTTTACTTGGTCCTCCTTTGCTGTTTTCTAAAATCCTCCCACTCTACAAGTTTACCATTATTTCTGCTAAAATTATGGGACTTTTCTTCACATTTTGTGCAATTCTTACGTTCCTGTGTTAGCCAAATTGATTTTCTTTGGGGAATTTTGAGTGTTGAAGAATGTAGCAATACTATGCAAAACTTCTTTAAAGAATGTACATTCCCTGTGTTTCACTTTGTTAATGTGCTGTCACAATCCACCTCGCTCCTCATCACTTCAAAACTTTCCTTTGTTCAAATTAAACACACTGGCTTCAAGTTGAATTACCTCACTTTCAAACATACTCTAAAATTCTTTCATATTACTTATCCCTGAAGATTATTTTAATACATATTAATTAAATTATTATTATTAATAGGTGCTTCAACCATGTACCTGTCCTAATCATGCACACATATCTGAGAGCTCAGACCAATAAATGATTTAATCAGCAAATAATGTGTTTTTCGAGTGAAATGAATTGTTGACATTGCTTGATTGAGATCTTTATGTGGTTATAGTACGTTGTTTATTTTACTGTGCTGTCTTTCCAATGTCTCAATGTTATTTTGGACAAAATTAACGTGTTTGAAGTCTCACACACTCACACGCGCACACACAGACACACATGCGCACGCACACACACTTTGTAACAAATTTCCATCTATGTTTTACTGACTAGAAATTAATTGGCGGAGCCACTGCAATTTTCTGTTATGTGTTGCTGGCATAAAGCTCCCCTGCTGGCAGACTGAATTTGATTCTTGATCTCCAGCTGTGCTATTCTTTGCAGAAAGTTTATGACTAATGAAGCTGGCAAAGCAAGGGAAATGACTGCATTTTTTTTAAAATTATGCTGAATGAGTGGCATTGTGTCATGTCAAATTCTAACAAAATTGGGACAGGCAACAACATAGGGAATCTGGGACCTGTGTGAATAGGGTAATCTATGGTAAGTCTCCATAATGGAGCAAACTGAAGCAGTCTAAATTAGGAAGTGTAAGTTAGAAATGTATAAGAAGTGAAATAAATGTAAAAAAGGATAAGTTGTTGAAAGGGAGAGAGAGAGAGAGAGAGAGAGAAGAAACAAAAAATATGATAACATTTGCCTTTTTCATTTTAAAATAATCCAACAGTTAATGTTTGAATGAATGAGTTTGCACACTTGTTCATTTTTGGTAGCAGAGAGGTTGTTTGAAAATAATTTTTAAAATTCAGTTACACTTGAATGGAAAATGCCTGCTTTCCTTCTGTCATGGTTAATTCTTTGGAGCTGATTGTAATTGGTCATTGCTCTACTGCAGGGAAAGGAGCGAGCTGTTTAGTGAGTCTCTGATATGTGGTTAAGGCTTTCTCTATTATTAATCTTGAACAGAGTATACAATTTGGAGGTAAAATTAATAACAGACTTTGTTTTGCACTAGCCTAAGTTTGGTAATTGAAGGCTTATTACAGCTAATTTTCTGTTCCAACACATTAGCAGAACAAAGGAAGGCTAATTAAACATCTAGAAATTTTAATGTTGCCTAGAGGCTTAGAATATGAATTAATATCAACAGGAGAATGGATTTATACATACATGCCGAACACCGATTTGCTTTACTCATTATATACCTTTCCTGCCTTTATATTAGGTTCAGAGACTGTCTGTGGGAAGCATACCTCGATCTTTGCTGGTTGTACTTGAAGATGACCTTGTGGACACTTGCAAATCAGGTAAGTGTTACTTAGTAGGCTGCATACAACTATTATGGGCTAATATATCAAACTGAGTAACGAAATCCTAGCATACACCAAACGACAAAAAAAACTTGTCTCCACAGTTACAGCCTAAAAATGTTCCTTGATGTGGTTTTATCACCAATAGTACCTCAAACAACTATAATGGGTGGGATTGTATAGTAATATTTTATAATTGCTTAATACCTTACTTATAGAATTTCTTGCAATTTGGGACCATTTTAATTTTACATATCCTAAAATGGTCTGAAATTTATTGTTTTTACACAGTATCCAAAGTTATCAGTACAAACTGGGCCTACTGCATTTCAAAAAATGTGCTTCTGAACAGCACAAGGAATTATGTTAAACATTGTTCAGTGTTAAAGTTGTGAATTGATCTTAAAGTGAAAATGAACAGGAACAGTAGATGATTTATGTTACTATATTTTAAAGAACATGTTTATTATCTGTGATGCTGGTGACAGAAGATTTCCGGCAATGGCATAAGGAGAATTCCCTAATAATTTTTAACTACTATTCTGGAATGTTTCACCTGAACAGACAGATTGGATAATGTCTTATTCAAAGGGATGAAATTCAACAATGTCACATTTCCTCGGTAATGCATTGGAAAATCAGCCTAGTTTAACTACCAAAGACCAGGAGTATGGTTTGAATGCATAATCTTCTGTCTCACAGATGAGAATGCAGACACTTTTCTTGTACCATAAGACCATAAGATGTAGGAACAGACATTGAGTCCGCTCCAGAATTCAATGAGATCATGGCTAATCTGATAATCCTTGGCTTCATTTACCTGCCTTTCCCCATAACCACTGATTCTGTTACTGATTAAAAATGTTTATCTCAGCCTTGTAATATACTTTTAAAATACTTATGGACTACTCCTACCAGTGTCTCTTCCCCTTGTTATTTTATACTGTCACTACTTGGATAGATGGATTCTACATCTTCCATTCCAAAATCATTTCTTACTATTGTGTGAATTCTATCCCATAGAACAAAGCTACCCCACCACCCTTTCCTTCCTGCCTGTCCTTTTGAACAAATACCCTGAATATTTAGTGCCCAGCTATGATCTCCTATACAACAGATTCAAAAATTTTAAGTCAGTATTAATTTGAATGTTTAGATTGTTCAAGGGATTTTGTCAAATGAAAACAAACCGTAGTTTTCTTGAATCAATTTAAATTGTAGTGAGAATTATGGAAATATAGAAACAACAATGGCCTGTTTGACTCTGATTAAGCTCTTTACAGGTTCAGGCCTTTTTAACATGCTGCCAATGGGTTTACTGTATCTGGGGAGTCAGGAATTTGTCTGGTTCTCATGCTGAACTGGCTCATTTTGTCCTGGGTAGTAATTTGAGGGCGGACAATTAGAAAACTGTTTTGGAGACAGTGGGAAATGAGGGATGAGGAGATGTTTGGGGGGAGGGGGAGGGGGACAGGCGCAGACGGGAAGAACAAACATACTATTTCTGATCCACCAGAAAGAGGAAAAGTTGCTTGAAGTGTCTGCTCCAGTAACACTAGTGGTCTTGTAAAGGCTACTCATTAAGTCACTCAACAATTGGTTAAAAATGGCAGTGCATGTGAACCTGATAAGTTTTATTTGGAGTCCTACAACTATTGTTGGCCCGCAATTATCAGATGTAAACTAGGTTCAGGCAGGTGGATTGCTAGCCCATTTACAGGGGGATCACATCAAGTGTTAGAGTCAGTGTTTGATCGGTCGCAATCTTTCCAACACCCTCACATTCCAGCTTCCATTTTCAGTGGTTGCCTGCAATTTCTTTTTTGGCAAGAAATACACAGTCGCAAATTGACTGCCTCCCCAATGTTTTGGAAAGTTTTGTTTTGCGTGCAGAACAGGCAGATCATACCATACAAATTGCATAAGGATAATAGAATAGAGTGAAAATACAATGTTATGGCTGCAGAGAAGGTGCACAAAGAGTGAGATCAACATTAAATGTAAAATTTGAGAAGTCCATTCAGAAGTCTAATAACAGCAGAGAAGATGCTGTTCTGTTGGTACATGCGTTTATGCTTTTGTATCTTCTGCCTGACAGAAGAGATCACAACCGGGTAGGAAGGGTCTTTGATTATGTTGGCTGGCTTCCCGAGGCAGCAACAAGTATAGATGGAGTCAATGGAAGGAAGGTTGGCTTGTGTGATGGTGTGGTTAAATGTGCTGTAAACATTTATTTCCTGACTATGCCATTGGAATATGGTGTATGTACTTTCCCAATTCTGAATCCCTGTCCTGTTTGTGCTATTTGGAGAACTGATGGACGAAAGACAGTTCTCCGCCAAAAGTGATGACAAATTGGAAGTTGAACAATTCTTTAGCAATGTCTGTGAAACTTCAGAAAACCAGCAAAGTTTTGTCAAAGGGAAATCAAATTTAAATTATTTATTGGAGTTCTTTAAAGAAGAAACATGTACTGTAGATTAAGGGGGTCCAGTGGAATGTATTGTTTGGAGATTTCCAGAAGGCATTTGATAATATGCCACATCAAAGGTAATTGCAGAAAAGAAAAGCTCATGGTTTATGGAAGGGCGGGGTGGGGGGATGGTGGGTAATGGTAACATATTGGCATGGATGGTAGATTGGCTTGCTAGCCGGAAGCAGAGAGTAGGAATAATTGGATCTTTTTCAGGCTGGCAGGATGTCACAAGTGATGTGCCAAAGGGATCAATGCTGGAGTCTCAACTTTTTATCATTCATATAAATGATTTGGATAAAGGAATTGAATATGTTGTAGCTAAATTTGCTGATGACACAAAGATGTGTAAGGAAGTGAGTCGTGAAGAGCACGTAAGTAACTCACACAGGGATGTAGATGGGTTAAGTGAGTGAGCAAAGATCTAGCAAGTGGAGTGTAATGTGGGAAAGTGTGAAATTGTCCATTTTAGCTGAAATAATTTTGAAAAAGAACCTTTTATTTAAATAGTGAAAGTTTGAGGAGCTCTGAAATGCAGAGAGATCTGGCTGTTTAGTGCATGAATCACAGAGGCTAGTATGCGGTAAGTAGGAAAGTTAATAATATGTTACAGTTTATTGCAAGAGGAATTGTATGCAAGAGTAGGGGGTGTTATTGTTCAGCTATACAGGGTACAGGTGAGACCACATCTGGATAACTGTGTACAGTACTGGTCAAGGTACTTACAGAA